CGAGAGGTCATTTGGAAACTACTTCGCTACTACGGGGTCCCATCGACAATTATACACCTCATCCAACAGTTATACGACAATGCTGCATGCCAAGTAATCCACAACGGGAAACTTACGGAAGCCTTCGAAGTGAGGACGGGAGTGAGGCAAGGCTGTCTACTATCACCAATGATCTTCCTGATTGCAATTGATTGGATAATGCGACAGACAACGGCAACCAACGAGGGAACAGGCATAAAATGGACTGACACAAAAGACTTGGAGGATCTGGATTTCGCCGATGATATATGTCTGATTTCCCATAAACTGGAAGATATGCAAGTGAAAAGTAACAAGTTGGCAGAAGAAGCATCAAAGATAGGACTTCACGTGAACATAGATAAAACAGAGATGATGAAGATTCCTAGCCAACATCAACAGCAAAACAACAACAACAGACACAATAAGCATAAATGGGAAGAACCTGAAAGAAACAACCTCCTTCACCTACCTGGGAAGCATCGTCTCAACTACAGGCGGAACTGACGAGGACATCAAAGCCAGAATCGGAAAAGCAAGACAAGCTTTCATTACTCTCAAATCTGTGTGGAGGTCAACAGCAATCAGCATCAAAAATAAGATCCGGATTTTCAACTCCAATGTGAAGTCAGTGCTACTATACGGATCAGAGACTTGGCGAGTCATAAAGAGCATCTCAAACAAACTTCAAACCTTCATTAACAACTGTCTCCGCTCAATACTCAAGATCAGATGGCCAGAAAAGATCAGCAACAGGGATCTCTGGGAGCGAACCAATCAGGAACCGATTGTGAAACAAATAGGCAGAAAGAAATGGAGATGGATTGGCCATACGCTGAGGAAACCATCAAGTGACATCACTAGACAAGCCCTCGAGTGGAACCCGAAAGGGAGGCGGCGAGTTGGTCGTCCAAGGGTGACTTGGAGGAGGTCATGCGAGGAGGAGATGAAAGCATGTGGACAGACCTGGAGCAGGGTGAAAAAGTTGTCAGAAAACCGAAGTCAATGGAGGTGCGCAGCTGAAGCCCTATGTTCCTCTAGGAACTAAAGGATACAATAATAATATAATAATTTGGTCTGACTACCCCTAAATCGTTTGCAGCCTAGTCGTATACCACATGGCATCGCTTGGTAAGTATAACAGAAAACGGGTTTACGTGAATTAAGAATGAATGACTAACACTTATTTTCGTCATCAGTTAGCTGTATAAAATGCTTTATCGTAGACAAATTACCCGAACAGTTAGAAATTAGAAAATGAAGATATCGAAATAGTGAGTACAAAATAAATTGAACTCTAGTTGACTCAAGTGAACCACCAGCTGAGCATTCCAACGACTACACCGAATGATCTAGGTCTGCAGAATATTCAATAGTTCATCGAATGGAAATGTCTAGCGTATATCTACTACCTATGAGAGTTCTACCAATTTCGCTTATTTTCATCACTGTTGATCATAGTATAATATTTACGGTTTTTGTGGTGAGTAATTTCTACTAAACTTAACATCCATGTTTCTGTCAGCAAAACTCATCATATCCTGATATAATGAGGATGAAACTGATTTGTCGCATTCATGTGAACTGGATCCATATTGACGATAAAATTCAAGACGTTGCTTGTCAATGAGCTCGGCATAAACAGAAATGTGCTTCTACTTACAAACATATGGCACAGATCTCTTGCTGACTTTGCTGGACTCGCCCATGTCTCAATTACACTTGAAATTTGAAGGAAATCAGCGTCCTTGTGAAAAATTTTTTTCGTAGCAACAGGCAATGATATCTCAGGTGGAATTATTGTAAATGTTTAACTTTTTCGGAAAAAGCATTATTTTTTTTTATTTTTGATTACAGCTTGATTTTACACTGTATTTTTGATACAAGTATGGAATTTTCAGCAGGGATATCGGTAGCCCAAATTTCGCAGGCCGACCATAGATATCAGGTGTGCGTCGGCGTGGGCTCGAACCCCGGACCATGTGCATGGTCGGCGAGAGTCCTAACCACTGTGCCACCAACGCACTACATATTCAAACACTAAATTAGTTGTCATCATACTACTATTCTTATTCTAATAGATAAAATGCTCTAATATTTTCACTTTTGTTATTATTCTGAATCTGCTTGCGCCATTTTCGACTGTTAATTATTAATTCCTTCCACAAAAATGCTTTGAGGTGCATTACATATCACAGCTGATTTAAAACCACATGTTCTATTCAGGCTTGCCACCTACAACAATCGCACACTGATGCGAATTAAACAGGTTTTGAGGGAGGCTACATCTCGGAAATCTCAATACAACATCACAAGGGCTACGAATAACTCTTCTGACTGTCTACTTACGGAATAGTGAGGTCCGCTTACCTGATGTCTATATATCCATACCAGGTGTTGGTGTGCAGTCAGTCTACAAATTCAGTTGAAAGTGAGACAACCGGTCTTCCGATATGGCTACTTAGGCAATAAGGAAAAGTAGTTTTTGTTCATCGAAGATATATTTCTTTTCAACTTCATTTTCAAGCTGTACAGTCGTGTTTATATCACGGAAAAAGCATTAAGTGGGACTAGAAACTGCTCAGTCAATGTACATATGATAAGAATAAATATAATTAAAATGATGTACTAAGGGGGTAGAGTTCAAGTGGATCAATTACAAAACTTTTAAAGATTATTAAATAAGTGAACGGGTATAAAGATTTTAAAATTGTAGGTACGATGATGATAAGGATGAAGACAGCGAAGATGAATTGAAGTGAAATGAATTCAAGTGGTAAAAGAAAAAAAAGAACAGTACTTTGACCAAGATGAGAAAGGAGTTTCTGTCCATGTATACCTAGGGCTTAGGCTATGCAAAAGTGGAAAAACGTAAGCTTTTGGAGTGCCTGAACTTGGTCCGGTAGATAAATTTAGAGGATAAATCACGTGGGGCTGAATAACCTGACTCCAGATGTTTACAAATTGAAGACTTCGTCGTCCTATGCCCACTTTTCAATAATCAAACCAGGTAGTGTTCTGCTACGCATTTACGGAGAACACGCTTACAACGTCCAATATAATCAGCTCCCCACGAGTATGTGAATTAGTATATACACACAGAGATGAACATAAGCGGTAGTTTATCCTTGACGCATTGTAGAATCACATTTCGGCTGGTAACTACTAAATGTAAGTCACTTGGATAAAAACAGCTCAATACATTTAATTAAACGACTTTTAACCATTACATGAATAGCGTTGCCTTTGAACGCCAAACTGTGATTTGGATGGGGAAGGCTTCCTTCCTGATGTTTCTGTCAAAAAACCTTCTAGGATATGCACTACTTAAGGGATTTGTGCGAAAGTTTTCTAGTTCTGTGTCGACTGTATCTGTAGAGCAGGTTCCCTGAAACTGGAGTATAGAGAAGGGATAAGATTCCTCTCCAAGCTTAGTGGTACCCATCTGTTGAAGTTGGTGCACTGCCCTGTATATGTTAACTTTCAGCAAATCGACCTTTTTAACGTGCCATTCTCTCTCCTACCTAGCATCACGTCTAAGAAGTGAAATGCGGAATTCGACTCTTTTTTTCGATAGTGGAAAGCATAGATAGGTGACAGCCATTATATTTTCCAAGAAGCTCAGCAGATGGACAATTGTCATCACAAATAATGGTGTCGTCATTCTATCACTTATACATATGCAGACTCAAGATTGTTTCTTTCAATGAACTACGCTCTGAGCTCTTCATGAAGATATCCGTTTGGAGAGGTCTTGATGGAGGAACCCATAGCGACTCTATCCCTTTCATCATAGATGATTGTTAAATCTAAAATGCATTTCAAGCGCGCATCTTCAATAAAAGCTGCTTCAGATAGTCAGTTGGCACTCCAATGTTTGTGCATTTTAGGTCGATGTAGTCACATAGATGACAAATAGTTTCTAATGCTGGTACATTTGTAAATGAAGAGCAAGCCTTTAGTGAAATCACTTGTTTACCGGTCACATTAATTCATGCAATGACAGATATGTTCCAGATGATGATGATCCTAATCAAGAGCGCTCTACATATATGTAGTTCTAGGTGAAGACTTGAATGCACGAGCCGAACATTTGGTTGTTCTGGTAGTCAGTGGGGCCCAGCTCACTGCATATCCATTCTTTTCTAATTCTTACTAACGACCCCACGTAACTATTATATCTCATTTGTCTTTTCCTCCATTCACATAATATGTGATCCTTCGTCGTATACTTTACTCAATGATTTTGGATTATAATGAAAGCTTATTATTCTTCATACGTTTTGTTACATTTTCGTCGCTGATCACAAAAACACGCTTTCTGATTTCTTTCTTCGTTATCATATTTGACTCAATACTTGAATCAATGCTTTATATGTATCTGCTAAAAATGTAAATAAATACAACTGTACAGCTCGTCAAAAAGACACTCCTAGAAGTAATACTAGGTCATGCAACGGGAAAATGTAGTAGAGTCACTAGACTGAAATGTAATGCTGAGTTATGATATTCTTAGTAAAAGATGTGTAATACATAATGTGTAGAGTTTTACTGCGTTAACTCGAAGTACGCCTGAGCAGTCTTGTTTTCAAAGGCTTAAAATAACGGTTCACGTGAATCACGATAAGATGAGAACCACGAATGACATTTGGAATCAATAAATTGCATGTAGTATTTTCAACTGTTCCCTTTTTAAGAATTAATTTCTTTTTGCTGCAAACTTCTTTTTTTAAAAACTTTTTTGTGACTTGACCAACAGAATAGATGAAAAAAAGCCTCTAACAATTGTCTGAGTTTAGGAGAGAATGACAGTTTACCACAATATACTGCTGGTTTCTGAAACAAGATGTTCTGCACATGTTTCGAAGACACAAGCCGAAATAGTCGGAGGGTCGACTAGTGAGGTCAGGTGACCATCTGCCTTGTGACATATATATATATATATATATATATATATATATATATATATATATATATGGAAGCTGTGTCAAAGGTATTTCACCGATTTTATCTTCTTGAGTTGAATAATTAACCTGAACTAGCACTAACTGTTTGTGGCTTACATGGGCTATCGCTGAATGAATTCCTTTTTATCTAAAAGTATTGTGGTATGTATTCATTTATTTAAAATTGAAACTTCTTACAGTTTTTACTTTGTTTCGTAGTAATAGTTTTCTCAAATATACAGATAACTTCTCCTCTAGATGTTCTCAAACCTCATAACTAGATCCGATTTACTTATTTCAAATTGAAAACGGAAGTGACCACTACTTGCAGCATTTCACTGATGACACACAAAAATTGAGATCAAAGCATTGACTATGCTGAACATTATGTATATCCATTTAATGTGATACAATATAAAATTGACAGAAGGAATAATAATTTCCAAAATGAAAATGTTATAAATTAGTGTGAAATAGTAAAATGATGAAATAAGGGACTATTATGATTGTTGCATCAATAATACAAGTGTTAATATCAATAATATTAATAATAATTTAACACAACAAATTTATGCATCTTAGTTAACACACAGATATTTTAGTCTATTTTAATAACGGAATAGATATATCGCAGAAATATGTATGTCGATGTAAATCCAATAGTGCCTGTGAGAATCCAAAATGCGATTGCCATTAGTGTACTATAGCCAAAGTATATAATTGTTGGAACAAATTCTGTAATATTAAGCTATAAACGGGGAAAGAATAACAGTCAACACAGTAACACTTCATTCCAAACAATAATAATAACTATACAGAATGGAATTTTTAGTGAGTTTTTATACACATTGCAACAATTTAGCTCCATTTATTTATAAACAAGTACATACATAAAATTTAAAACACTAATAATAACATTAATACTAATAATGAAACCACTATAAACAGAATGTTGGTGAAAACACATGAAGTGTAAGCAGATAGTAACATAGATAATACAAGTAATAATCTTTGCTTACACTTTGCAGTTCAGATTACTGATTTAAAAAATGTATAAGTTCTTTTCTGACATCTCACTCTTCACACATAACCCGTGCTAAATATGGTATGGTAGGATTTTTATATTTAGTTGTACGAGAATTAATTCTTATGAAGTTTCTTCTGGTTTTACCCGAAGAGATGCAAGGAGAAAGTTGAGAATAAAGAGCATGTTCAGTATCAGACAAGATAACTTTTCCTAACTGTTTGCAAGAAGTGAAGTGCCTATTGACAATAATATCAGTTAGCTGAGTCAAAGGCACACTACTAATAGGTATTGTTGTACTTAGATTACTACAGGCACAGAGAAATGAAAAATAAAATTGTAAATACATACCTTGGTCACAAAGTAGAAGAAGGAATATCCCAACAGATAAACTGCAGCTCCACCAGATGTTATGAAGGTACGCCACCACCAATGATAGTCCTAAGCAATTAAATGTAAGTAATCATCTTTTTTTAGAATATTTGTGAATTCAACAAAAGAAAGAATAGACGCAAACAGATCAAAAGCTATGGATATATATATATATACCTTCTGAGTAGGGTGATTATAATGATTATTTAATCAGTCAATATGATAGTGAAATATCTTAAATTATAATGAACACATTCTGTCTGGACATTATAATTAACAATGAACAACTGATGTACACAACTCTGATAAAATTTACACTGGTGATGGAACTTTTAATCAAGATAACAATAGACAAAAGCTATCGTACATATAAACTCGTAGATAACATAACATAACAAAAGAGCATTCCAGATAGATTTTCAGTCGGAATCGACAAAAACATAAAATGATATAGCAAGAGGAATAGTCGTCTCATAATAAAGTTCAGATAATGAAAACAAGACTTCAAAGTGATTTTTTTTATTTCCTTCACGTTCCCGGTGGAACATAGGGCTTCAAGCTAGTGGCTTGAAGCTTCTGTATCAGTGTTTAATTTTACAGAATGGGGTTGCTAGCCTCATGCCCAACCTTTCCTCTTTACCAGCATTATTTCTGGTTTAACGAGGTAAAGGGATGCGTCGGTCGGGGATCCAACCCCGGCGAGCGTCTTAACCACTGTGCCATCGACGCTTCAAAGTAATACTTTAAGCAAAACTAAGTGATTATACGTAACTCATTTACATCGACAACTAAGAAGATTGTCATTCATTATTCAGTTGCAAATAAATACCCCATTGTGGTATTCCCTCTTTATATATATATATATATACTTTTCACTTTAGTACTTTGCGATTTTGACCGATGCAAAAGATGAAATCAAAATTGAAACGAGATTATCAATGCAAGTGATTGTCAGCAATTTATAGAAGCTCGTCTCATTTGCAAAAGCAACCGGATTCTAAACTAAGAACTATATGTGCAACTACCACCCAGTACATGGCAAAACGAAGCGTTACTACTGACCTCACATGGTGGTGATTTGAAAAAAAGTGTTTGCTGTGCTATCGCCCCCCCCCAATGAATTGGTGTAGGATGTTCAAGCTATTACAATTAGGAGTCAACCGGCATATCTCTCAACCTGTTGAACGACGAAAGAATGAATTACATCCTGGTGTGTTTGGAGCTGGATATTTGGCTGGTGTCTGATGATTACCAGGTTCAATTAAACCATTAGCGATAGTTTTACTAAAAAGGTATTCTTATATTCTCATTTTGTGAAATAAACTTGAACTTTATTTTTATTTTGGGATCAATTTTACTGTACTAACTAATCAATTTAAAATAAAAATCCAAAAAAACTGTGTATATCACATTGTCATGCATACCTCATTGCACAACTGAAAGTACGTCGAAACGATAGCCACTTGAGCACAACATATGATCAATATTATGAATACAACGAACAAAAATCCGAATAAATAGTAGAACTGACTTTCCCAAATAGCCTATTATTCAATCATGGAGGAAGGGAGGAAAATTAAAAAGAATGATTAACAAATTACACTTTTTACAATTGTAGTCAGTCATACAGTATGATGCGTAAAGGCCAAGTATTTCACTTGACAGGATAAAATGCATGTTATGATCATTCAATTTGCTTTTAAAAGTAAGATCACTTGTGGTCATTATACTGCGTCATCTTTGTGTTTAAGCAGGGAATATATGCGAGTCCCGAAAACACATTGTAGATGTCTGCAAACATCATGCAATTAAGGGTGAATGAGACCACAATCTAGATAGATTGAAGTTTATAAAATGTATTGAAGTAGACTAGTATAACATTGAGGAGAAAAGTCTGATGAGGAATAAAACTACTCTACAGGTAAATTACAGCTGATCAATAAGTATTATTGGAATGTATACATGGGTCCATCAGCAAAAGCCGAAATAGTGCAAAATGTCTATAATCTAAATCGAGGTAAAGTAGACATTTAGTCTCACTCTTTAACTGGAAAGGTGTTCAATTATGATGGCTATGAGTAAAGTGTTATGTGGGCCAATACGAATAGCAATAATGATAGGGGTTATGATTCTCTGTGTTGACTCATTAGATCAGTCAGTCTTCTAGTGACCACATGAACTAAATCAGTGCTTTCAACTATAGGAATAAAATTCATAACACTGTTGATCGTGGATTTAATAACGGATTTCTAACATCGCATTACGGTTTGGACCTACCTCCATAGAAATATTCTTCTCAATTATCTTAAAGTTCCCTTAACTCTCAATGGCCGTGTTTGATATAATCTCATCTACTTAAAACACAAATCATACAATAATCAAACTCACATTGTATATGAAGAAGACTTCAATAAAAACTGCACCGAAGGGTAGAGCTCCAGAGTAGAGTGTGCTACAAAATATTAATGTACCAGAGAACATTTGGTAAGTATCTGAATTCAACTAGAAAAATTTAAACATAAATGTGAAATCTACTTCTTTTGGTCATTTTAAGTAGCATATAATTAATAGATGATTTAATGGAATGAAAGACAGTCACATAACAAGTAACTACCAATTTTGGATTGATTGCCATTTACTTCAAAGAATAATGTGGTATAAAGCAGTATGCACAAATGATGAGTTAATTCATTCGAAGTGATTATGAAACTGTTTAAATATACAGATAAACTGTTGACCAAGTAAGCAGATAAAAATTGCAACACAATAGGTCTAAATTACGCGATATATGCCTTCTACACCTTTAGTTCTATTAGAAGACTCGCAATGCTATCCAGTCGTCCAGCTCGAAGAACAGCACAGAATTCTTCGGTAAGAGTTCAGAGATATTATTCTATGAGATACACTTCTTTCTCGAGACAAATGTAATTCCAATTTCACTAAAATCGACCACAGCGTGTCGTAGCTGTGTAATTGTATTTCACAAGAATTCTTCATCACGATGAGGTCAACACTTAAATCCAGACAACAGGACTTTCGAAACTCTTCAACTAACAGACAGCATACAATCAGACTTTGATGGAACAATCGAACCACAATGTTAACAAATAATGTTGAAGGACAAAGTAATAATTAACTGATGGAGAAAAACCTTCCCACACTTATTTCGTCCAAACGTCTGCTACACTATAAAGTCAGACGAATAGAAGTGATTCAACTTTCAGTGATAAATAAAAAATAGTATAATAGGTTGTATTAAATAAAACATGAAACCTTTAATTACTGGCTTCAATAAACTACAAACAAACGATAATATAAAGCGAAATACTACTGAATTCTTTGAAAACTTATAATTAACTGAAACAAATAAGCAGCTACTTAAACGAGAGAAATTTCAAATCACTGATTTATTGTATCTTTGGCGTTTTAAGAAACATACAATTTCTATGAATTTATTTTATTTTACTTGGAAAACAATGAAACACTTTATCATTTACTAATTTGACTTTCTCGTACATCCATCTACCTAACAACTAAGTAAATCTCATGGTGTTAAGAATTTATTTCATATATGATATAGGCATCATCACTATTTACTTTATGCTTTTCAACATGCTTGGTAGATCCATTAAGTGAACAGTTCAGAACTCATATATAAAGTGTAACGTAAAGCAGGTAGGCCTAAACAGGCACAAACCACCACCGATTGAAGTGGCTGAAAGCTCTGCTAGGTACGTATACTGAACATCTACCTCGATGAGGCATTTTACTGGAATCAGGATCAGATTGCATGAAAGCAACTAATTAGTGTCACTTGTTGTTTCCTTTTCTATAACATTCAACTTGAATCGCAGATATGAAATGCAGCGACATGTCATATATTGATAATGTGTATATGCCTGTTAGCAAGCAAAGAAGGACCAAATCAGGATTGCATGAAGAGTAAGCACAAGAAAAGTAATATGAGCATGATTTGATAACCTAGAGATAACAATGATGAAATGTAGCAGTACGGAACACGTCTTTTTGCAAACGAAAGCCTGGGTTACTTTATCTTGATAACTATAGTATCAGAGACACCGAGAAGACGAGTTCAAATCATTTTCACGATGTCACATCTGTGAACGCATGGATGGTTGAGAATGAACTACCAATACCAACAAAGTGTAAAACTATTAAATCTTAATAAACCACTACCATTCTGTATCAGGAAATACTATGAGAAGTTGGTCACAGTTCTTTATTTGTTCTCTATTTCTTTCCTTTTATCAAGTTCTAATTGATGTATTAATGTTAGTTTTAGGAAAATCAGCCAATGCACACTAACATTCAGAACACTGTTGATAATTTCTGTCCGTACTTGTTGTTGACTGTAAGTTTAAGCTTAGTTCAGGGAAACGACTTTTTGTATGAGGAAGATATCACAGAGAAAATATTAAACTAGGACATATCTATATAACATCAATGCTCTTCACACACATATTGGTGGATACAATCGAAGGTGCTTGTTTTAGAGCTATAGAGTAAGTTTAAGTCGTATGCATGCAGTATAGTATCATCAGTGTACTATATTACACAAACAAGGGTATGGAATATTTATCTACGTAGTTTGCACATTTACAAAAGGAAGGGAATATGACAACTTACGTCAGCAATAAACTTTGACAAAATCTTTGATCTGGTACAGCTCTAGGAATCTGGTTAGTTCGGATAGGCTGCTCATATCCACGTTTGCGGTAACCAAAATAGAATCCAATGTATATGAGAGGTAATGAAATCCCCAACCATAACGACAGCAATGCAATTAGTGTGGTAAATGGAACGGCAGCAGATGAACCCTTATACCAAATGAATGTATTCAGCACCAATCCGAATATAAGCACAATCCCGGGGAAGAGTAATCCAGTCTAAATGAATATTTTAGAAATTATAATTACTCAATATTACAATATTTTCATTTAAATGTTATTTTGATTTATGTAAGCGTGAGACAAACTATGAAATCAGTGTTGAAATATTACACGGTTAAATCCTGCAGTCAGTAAAGAAACTTATGTAAATGTAATCGATAACTCCATAGTTGTATCTATTTCAAAAACCAACTGCATGTGCTATTAATTAGAAGACAGCACAAATGTCAATAAACAAACTACAAAAGATACACGAAAACAGTGCAAAAGACTGTCTTTTCTAACTGTACTTTAGGACACAGTATTAATAGAATTATCTGTAAGCTAATCCATCTAGAATAGTAATATAGTCTTCATATAAACACATTTATAGCTTTACAGTTAATCATAGTTACATGCTATCCAGACTGCATAGGTAACACTGATGACTTTAGATAAAAACAGAGTATCAATACGATAATCGATATTTTTTATTAGAAAAAAACGTGAATTTCACATATTCTAACAGACAATAAACAACCAGAAGGTAGATATGGGAAGCTAAAACCAAATTTATGAAAATAAACGGGGGAAAGAATATAATTGCAGGATCTACAGCAATACGCATTATTCAAATCACTTTCTAATGAAAGATAATGAAATAGAAAAGAAATAATAGAAAATAATTGTGAAACTAATAATGACAACATAAACAAAAGAAAATATAAGTCATCTACTGTCATACTATAAAAGGAGGGGATATCTGAGACACTACGTAAAATTCTTAATAAAGCAGGAATTTGGGTAGCATTCAAACCAACAAATTCACTCAGAGACAGGCTCTGTAAGCTAAAAGACCCTGTGAACCCCAGTTAAACAAAATAACATAATTTACAAAATACCCTTCAATGATTGTGAGGTCAACTACATAGGTCAAACTAGTAGGTCGGGGGTAGTCACATTGTCGGAACAGAAGAATTCAGCTAACGTAAGAATGGTTGATCCCACCCGAGAAGATAAGTAATTTAGAAAAAAGCCCAGTAATTGCACTGCATGCATCAACACATAACCACACAATAGGGTGGTAGAGCGTTAAAATTCTAAGAAGTGATCTATGTATTCGGAGAAAGAGATTGATTACTGAATCCTTATTCATCCAGTCCACACCCAATACATGCAACAGAAATGACTCAATGCAAATACCAGAGATATGGAAGATGTTATTACCACCAGTCAAATCAGAGGAGGATAATAAATAATCTTAAAATTCTATCTCATTTCAAGCACATCACAACATTCTAACAAGTTACTTACTTTGACTATAAAAACACTAGTCTTATTTCCCATCTGATTGTATTTGATCAATAGCACTCATATTGTTATTGTTTCTGAATGTACATTATCCTATATTGATTTTCATTCAAATATCTAATCAATTCCATTCATGTGTACAAATGAAGGAAGAAAGTTCTGTGAGTAACTTGATATGATTATGAGCAAAAGTTTGTGCTCGAAAGGTGGTCATCAGTTAATATTCTTGTATAACACTGTGATTTATCAAAACAAAAACTTATCCATAATGGAGTTATAATCTACCACAGTACTCAAGTTTTATACTTAAATCGAAAAGAAAGTAAGAATAAGAGAACAATAAAGCATGATCCAATATCGTCCCAGTTAGCTACAAAGGCATGTCAGTTAACGTCCTTCATTATAGTGGGACCGATTGCAAATCAGAGAGGAGAAATTCATAAGTACAAGCTTGAAACTTCTACTCCTTATCAACTGATTATTTAACACCAGTGATCTGTTCTAATATTTAAACTGGCAGACCACCTCTGAATAATAGTTACAAGAAATCTATTTCCACACAAACTACACTATTGAGATTAATGGATCAAAACCTAATGGATTAATCTCGCTTGTGTATTGTGACAATCAGAACTCTAGGTTATTGTTAATCGATAGGCGGAATAGGGTTAGTGAGCAATAGGTCGGAGTGTCCACTATATAAAACAAGAAAATTGAAAATTATATTTATGTGTCCTCACAGCTACAGCGGTTGACTTCCAGAACAATCCTCGTAGCGTTTTATATAATCTCCCAGCAAAATATCCGGCAAAAAGACCCATAAAAACGTAAGTGAATATCGCAGCATTCATTAGCGCTCCACGAGAAGCTGGTGATAAGGTTCCAAGCATGGCAAAAACTATATTTTCAGAAAATTAAAAATTAACAACAACAAAGGCTTAGGAACCATAATCAGCAAAAACAAACACTGAGAATAAACAGATATGTTAGATAAATCTTATTATGATAAGTTAGTGCATATTAGTTTGAAACCTAATAATGTGTAACAAACATGCAGTACAAAATCTTGCTGTAACTAATTTTATTTTGTATGACAAATCACTGATAATACTTTAACGACACAGCAACTGATGTGTTCACATTTCGTCTGATTTTCTACTGTGGCGTGTGCAGATGGATAGGAAGCGGCCAAAATTGAAATCAACATTTTAAGTCAATGGGTGAAGAGGTAGAAGTGTTGACTCCTCAAATCTGCATTTAGTTTACGTTATGGCCATGAAACATAACCTAATTGGAAATCTTGTTTAACCTTAGGCCAATCGCCAATCAATCAGGCAAATCCACTGTACGCTTACCTAGCCGACTTTTATTGTTGTTAAAAATATATAAATATGATGTATTTTCCATAATAAAAAAGTCCGTTACTAACTCTTATCTTCTACCAGTACATTACTACAGTCATCTCCGAAAATCTGTTGAATTCACGCGTGCAAAATGAAAAACAAACATACATATTAACTTGGTATCGCTGTATAACATTTCCAGTTCTCACACCTACTTTTTGCACCTCACATAAGGTAATGAAATTGAAAAGTACGGATTATATAATTGAAAATAGTGAAGTACTACAAAACAATCAAACAGAGTGAAAAACAGTATAAAACTAGGATACAGCTAGAATATGAAAGCCCTTACATTACTATGAGTAGTCTTAAGTCAAATAAACGGAGAGCCTTCAGCTGTTGAAGTTGGTTTTATTTTACAAAGCATACAAGGAACCTACAGTTTTATACAAATGTCAGACAAACGTTCGACAACTTGGTGAAGCTTCAACACTGAATAATCTGACTACACCTGCCTTTTAAACAACCTGATTTCACTTTATGACATAATTCCGTGTTAGTCTATTTACTACAAAAATCACAATAATCATAAAAATTCTGCACAAGCAGATGAGTATTTATGGTGACAGACCACAGCTATTGATACCTATATTTTATATCTTCCATCAGCCAGTTTCTGTTTAAACTATCTCAGGTGTCCACACTAAAAGCAAAGTTAGGTATCAGGTTTAAATTATTCTTTATCCTGCTTTTATGGACACTACTTTAGAATGCTTAATGGGACTAAGTTTCGGCTTTCAAGATACACTGATTTACATCGATTAAATATATTGATTTGTCAAGGAGTCAACAGGCGAGAGAACTAAATGTCATCCACCTTGAGATTTTCTCAAAGATTATATAATTATTATGTTACACTAATCCTATGTTCTCTGACCAATCGAATCAATATACTACCCTCGAAATGTGCAAGTTAAATGCTGTTTGAAGTACATATAACATTTAGACGCTTAAAATCTCCATTAATTTTTATTTCATTCTATGTATCTCTATCCCCTGTATTTTGATTACACTTCTTATGTATATGTGTATGCTTCTTCTGTCTGGAAACTTAAAGTTACACCCTTTTGTGTGGAGTTTTACGATATGTCAATCATGTCAGGTAATGCCCGCGAAATTGGTCAGTGTACGGTAAAGAAAAGTTCCTATGTTCTCTACGTTTAAGCTCAATGCTTCATGGTTGGTTAATGACGACACAACTAATGAAGCTGGTTCATATCTGTTACTTATCTGCTGAAAAATATTGGCCACTACCGTGCTTTGCAGGCTTTGTAAAACACATCAGAAGCCAATTCATGAAAAGCGAACTGGGTTTCGTTCAGGCTACAGATACTCTGAATACTTATTTCATTTTCTTTCTCTCGAATTATTTTCTTCTCCTTTATTGATGCCATTCTATTATTTAGTACTGCACATTTTGTAGTGTTCATATAGCATATAATTGCTATTTAAAACAATAATAACAATAACAGAGTATTTTTGAAAATGTTTCATTACCACTTACATATCACGATAAAGACCATGAAAAACAACTGCACACCGGAGCCGAACATTGCTGTAAGTAAACGTGTATGTCGAGGTGGACGGAATACGTCTCCGTGCACTAGTTTCCACCCTGACTCTTCAAGAATATCTTCCTATAGATAATCGGAATAGAAACTAAATTAGCTTCTCGAAGATTATTCTGGTAGAATAAGATTAGCAAAGCATAAAGATCGACTTACAACATCATCGTCACGGTTGTATTTCGCAATATCCTTTCTCAGAGTTCGAATAAGAATCATGAAAATGACCGCTATAAGAAAGGGAAGACAAAAATATTTAGGTGAAATACAACTAGACAAAAATATGGTCTAGCACACGGATTGTTGAACAGTCACATACCACCGACCGCTTCTTCAAAATAGGAACGTAACAAAAAAAATACCAGGCTAAAACCACCTGACTGTGGGTCTACCAATTCTCTCACAATGAGGATGTTAAAACGAAGATTTGATTAGGATTTGAACCTTAAAAAATGTTAGATTACCAAAGTGGTTTTGTAAAACACAGGGGTGTTTTGCCTTAGATCGTTAGTAATAATTCCTGAACTAAGAGCACTAACAGCGTGCGGAAGAAGAAAAAGTATACGAAAATATTACGACGGTAGGTCATGAACAGATTTTTTCGCGTTGATGGGAGTGTACAGCCCATCTCAGCTGCTATCAGTTTAGTAAGATCTCAATGCCAAGAGAACGATAACTTCAGTTCTCATAGAATCTTTTTAAGAGCTGACGAAATTCTGAAGTCTCGTCCATACAAAAATTCGCAGCAGGCTACGGGCCGTTTTTAGGGTAGGTCAAGGTGTACAATTTATGAGGCCGAATTTTTCGAAATCTTCCTTCTCAAAATTGGAAAGCAGTCTGTCGGAAACGCTACCAAATCTAACAGTAAAACTTTATTCTAAAACCATCACCGTTCCAAAAGCAATTTAAGCTCTGATGGTAGCTCATTTTAGTCTTACCGCTGACTAAATTATCTTACTGTTACAGAACGACTTTCGGAAACAATTGTCAATGCCACTGTAGCTCACAGGCCCAACCATGTCAAGTACCAGCTACTGATCAAGATACAATAGCATAATCTCGAGCTATTATTTTTCGCAATGCCTATACATCTTTTTAACAGTATGTTCCTGACTATTTTTCCTTCAATTCTGAACAAACTAAGCAATATTATACTTAGTTTTCTGTGTGGGAAGCCATACTATGAAAAATGCAAAGTTGTAGTGTTTTTGTTACTTATCTGCCTTATCTAGACACTCGAGTAGGTATGGTAACAAACATCAATTGAAAACACATAATTGGTTAAGAATACTCCTAAGCCATATTTGGGGGAATATCATCCTATTGGTTTTCCTGGAAAGTACTTTTTATCGTTAGATGGAGACCTATGAAATGAGTCTTAAAGTGTAACACTACTTATTATCTTCGGTAAAAATTTAGAACAAATGGCTTTTAAAAACATACACATGTATGTATATGAGCTGTTTGCTGCTTTTACCAAACATCGAAGATGAATGGGAAGTTTATAAAACTGTTCAGCTTTGTTTTCTTAGTAACTTCTTACTAAGCTTCTCGACACATTCACCTCCGAAATGAGCTTCACAAGGCTTACTGATTATCTTCCTACACTCGTTACAAAGTAAGGCATAAGTCTGCATAGACTAATGAAAACTCACTTCCTGGGTACCAGGGGAAAGGAAGGATCCTTTTACATCAACTACAAAGTATTTGTATTGTATTTATTTGTATTTGTCTAAATGATTAGAATGACTAGGGGATTACATCACATACAGAACCCACACAAGATTCACTGAATCAGCGTTATTAAATACCCTAGTTCTAAAAAAAATGTCAATTTAATTGTCACAAGGACTTGACTGACATGGTCTCAAACTTTTTGTCTGATATTACCCATTGGACCACGGGGATATCAAACTCCAGTAAAACACATTCTACATGTCTGTGGCCGTATAGAACATACCACCGTCATGAACCGGAGAACCATAATTTACTAATTGAGGTTCAGTCTTTGAAATGCTATAATTGACACTGATTTCAGAAATGAAAACATTCATAGTAACTAGCAATAAATTAAGCTGTTACATATCTCGGTGATAACCAATGGTGTCATGGATTAAATGTTAGCTCCGTCTTTTTTGTAGGTGATGAAAGTTCTTATAAGCTCGCAGCTGAAGAGCTTATTCAAAGTAGTACATAAACATGCTGACTGGTGATTTCTAAAATAGTAACAAGACATTTTATACTAACAAACGGACCTATTTGCAGTCTGAGGATCACAGGGGTTTCGTGTGCATTTCGGATTGTAAGGGCGATTGTTACTTCCCGGCTGCCCACACCGTGGAAGTTGGTTGCGTGACCCCAGAGCCCAGGGGACAACTGCTTGGGGCCGGTCACACGCAGCCTGCTTTTGTTTGTTCTTTGTTGTTTTGTGTGTCTCAGTAGCATATTTATCACTCCTGCCCTGTGACACGGCAGCAGGAAGCGCGGTCGTTGTTAATCCGGGCCACGGCCGATCCGGCATGAAATTTTGTATTGATCATGATGTTGGATTGGGTAGCTGCTTTTTGTTTAACCGCTATCCAAACAACCTGCCTGGCATAGTAGGACCTCAAGAGACATAAGTCTCAGCCAGTATAGCTTGTTGGGACATTGCGGTGTTCAAGCCCGACCACCATGTCAAGGTAGCAGCTTTCTCAGTAGCGCAGATGCATCCACTCCTTGTAACTTATGATCTCCAATGAAACTGTTTTGTTCTTCGTTATTACTCCTTTGTCTCACACCTCTGCTCACTGTCTCTATTATGCTTTTCTTGTACTTTCTGCTCTTGCTTCGCGTGCTACACGGAGTGTGGCGACTTGGACTGCCGCACATCGGTGCAAAGTTCTATGTCGAAAACAGACAGACATTTGCAGTCTGAATCGCGTCTAAGTGTGAATGTTTAAGGTACACTTAAAGTGGCAGTTCAGGTCTCTAGAGAGAGATTGTACAATTACTTAGCGTCTCTTCGAAGTGCTATACCCTTATGTGTCGGACCACAAACAACAGTATTATAAATTATGACAGTACTCGACCCCTTAGACTGAAATAAAATTAGAGTGGATGCCGCGATATCTTCCTAAAGACAAATATCCCCGTCAGTGAAACAACTTACACTATTCGGCAACTTAGTGAGACGCACATATATCACATGATACGCAAACAATAAATAAAATAAGCCTGATGAAATGACATAACACTAGTCTGTCTCTGTCTGTCTGGATTCAACATAGAACTTGGCACCGAAGTGCAGCAGTTCGAGTTGCCACGTTCCAAATAGCACACAGAGGTAGACAAGAAGATGAGTGAAGAGAATTAATAGAGTTTGACAAATATAAGAGTGAAACAGAATGGGTAATGGTAGAAAGGAATATGAAAGATTACAGAGATTGAATACATCTGCGCCATTGACAACGATTTTGAGCCATGTCACCTATTGTCTCCAGCCATTGATTCCTAGAGTCGCGAGGGCCCCAACCCGGGAGTCTGCATCTCCCTACCTGACTCAGTTTAACTGTCAAGGATTTCATGGATTGATGCCATGTTTTTGTTTGGCCACCACTGGCTCTTTTCCAACCTGAACCTATATCAGCTAACAATGCCCGTCGGGGGAGGCGGTGGTTAGGCATGCGCACCACGTGACCTAGCCATCTTAGTCTATGTAACTTTATAACCTCGTCGATTGATTTTCCCTCTTTGCCCAACACTCTACGCCTAACGTCAACATTACTTACCTTATTAAACCACCTAACGTGAGACAGAGATCGCAGACATCTATGATCGAAAGCAGTCAACCTTTTCATGTCTTCAACGCGTATTGGCCATGTTTCAGAGCCATAGAGAAGGACGGAGCGAACTGATGAGCAGTACACACGTCCCTTGGTTGATAACCGGATGTCACGCCTACGCCAGAGATGGTGTAAGTCAGTGAAAGCAGCTCGAGCCCGGACCAGTGCATGATCGGTATCTACACACGTGTTCCACAAGGAGCGACAATCTCCTACCGACCCACGCCAACGATAGCTTATTGCTATGTGGTCTATTTGTGTCCAGCGTTGGTTTGATGATGGGGGTCGCCAGGTTAAACAGTGTCTCTCCTTGTGTCTAAAGTTAGTGCTTACAAGGAACAAATGATTATCTGAACAGAACTGTAGGAGACGGTCACCGTTGTCGGTTCGCTGGCACGGAACTCCATGGTGCCACCAACATCCTTCTCAGATTGACACAATTTCCCTACTTGAGCGTTGAAGTCACCAGCTAGAACGACTATATCTGAGCGTTTAGCCTTTCTCACCAAACTAGACAGCTTTTGGTAGAACTCATCCTTCGTTTCATCCGAACTGCAGTCAGTGGGGGCGTAGGCGGAGATTACGAAAAGGCATCGGCGAGTAGTTCAGTCCTTTCTCCTTCTTACTGATCCGTTCAGACGGACAGCACACATTCGGCTATCTACTGGGATCCAGTCAAGCAATGTCTTTTCTGCCCTAGTACTCAGAGCTATCCCTACGCCAGCTAATCCCCGTGAACTAGCTGTGGCATCTCCTGACACCCTCAAGGTGAATTTTGAAGATTCATCCTGTTGGCCAGGTGGGGTTAGGTGAATAACCACACTTGGGTGTTGTATGCGTGTTTCTGAAACACAACATACATCAATGGCTCGAGATGCCAGGGTCTTAGCTAGTGATGCTTGTTGTCCTATTTGGCAAAGTGTCCTTACATTAAATGCTCCTATATGAAATTGGTGGCGTGGCTTTAGGAGACTATCCGTGGTGGTTTTTTGGCTTTCGTCGTTTTTAGTGGACACAGAGTGAAGAGGGAGTGAGGAGTCATCAAGTAGAGGAGTTGCATCACTGGGGGGAAGGTAAGGTAATAGAGATGAAGATGAAGACAAAGATAAGTGATAATGTTTACGATAATGATGGAAATGAAAGAAAACTTGTGGTTCCTTTGCTAATTAACCAGCATATTTTGAAACATATCAATGATGCCTATCACTTGCTAAATACGACCTATAGCTACTAACCCAACTACTTCCGGAGGGGTTTATTTTGTCCATGGAAAGCATATTTAATAAATGGTGGGGGGATGAGAGGAACGCACAGGTTTAAGCGCCGTCACCTGCCATAGAAAATGAAAACCTAACACGACAGGTTTCTGAGTAGAGACTTCAACATTCGGGAACCAACTTATTCACAGAACTTCACCATTGCCAGGATTGAAATAAGACATGACTGAGTGGTTTCACCGTAGAACTTTGTACAGGTGTGCAGAAGTTCAAGTTGCCAAATTCCATTCAACACACAAAGCAAGAGAAGAGAATAAAGAGAGATTCAAAACAGAAATATGAGGCGAAAAGAACAGTAATATGGAAGAGCAATAAAATTTTATTGGATATGATGAACCACATAGGGTGGATGTATCTGCGCCACTGAGAGCTATTTTGAGTCATTTCCCCAATTGTCCCCAGCCTTCATTGGTTTTTACCGTCCCGAGGAGCCCAACCAAGAAGCCAGTCTACATCTTCCTACGTGGCTTAAACTAACTATTGTGGATTTCATTGACTGATGAGGCCATGGTTTGACTACCACTTGCTCTTTCCCAACCTGATCCTATGTCAGCTAACATTGCCCATTGGTGTATGCGTAACACATGTCCTAAACGTTTCCATCGGTGTAACTTCACAACTTCATCGATTGATTTTCCCCCTTTACTGAACACTCGACATCTAACCTCGATATTGCTCCCCTTATTATACCACTTAACAGGGGAGAATAAGACATGCTCATATTTCTAAGCATCATTGCTTGGAACACATTTATCATGTACTATGCTAAAAGCCACACTTATCTTGTGAGGAGTGATAATACTACCCAGTTGTCCGAGCTGAAGTAGGCGGCAATTGGACCAGTGAGTCGTCAGCTGAAAACAGTGCTTAAACGAATGAGATACATATGCATTGTTACTCATACGCAGAGCTTGTAGAGGTGCTTAAGTGAGTGAAATATGGATGATAGACATAATCGGGCCCAGAATTTACGTGGTCTCCTGCGACTGCTTTTTAGTTCCCTCATAATTACGGACCCAAGATTTCAGGAAATACAATTACCATCTCATCACTATAGAATACCTACTTTTCTGAGATTGAGAATTAACGGTAACCATGTTTTACGTATGTTTCCTGACTACAATACCATTGTAAATGTTAGATTGAGATTTTTAAGTAATTCCTTACCCTTCCTCTACTAGTAGTTCGAATATCCTTTAACTCATTTGCCAGGGACTGCTCGATATTCTCTGCTGTTCATGTTTTACACAGAATAATTCATAGTGTGAATATGTCCGAGAAGGCATTGAGATCTTCTCCTTTGTATTGGTCATATCCTTAGTGCTAACACTACCCTCCTTCTCTGCTTTTATTGTTTTTCAATTAGAATACTCATATTCAGACTACTGACTCATTTCCGTTAAAGGTATCCACCAATGTTACTCATTGTACAGAGTAATAATGGAAAATACAAACAATTAAGGTAGGGGACGAGAATCATGTTGTAGGTTATGGGATAGTTTATGCTTAAGTCAGATGTTAAGAAAATGTTGCAATAGACTCACTGGTGAGAAACAATACAATAACCACAGAATTTATGATTGAGAACCAATGAAGTTGGCCACTTGCAGTTTTTAAGTATATATCCCAACGCGAGGCCCATTTGACGTCTGATGGCTCCCAAACAACTTCACTAGTGAATTGAATAACAGTTTCCTTCCCATCAATACTCTTCCAGTTCGAAATCGGTAAATCTGAGTTCACATCCTTGCACACACCGTTCTCTGAATGCAGATATTTCTCAGAAACACTTTAAAGAATGAGAAAAACAATGACCTACCTCATAGGTTCTATTTCAAAACCAACAAAACGGTAAGAGCCACTATAAGTGTTATAAAAAAAGCTAACAACATACCTATCGGTCTCGTGATACTGTAGAATAAATTTCAGGTGATTGTTAATATAAGCGACTCCATCAACGACAGAACCTAGCCTATAACCATGTTCATAGCGGAACGTTTTGCCACCATCAGAAGAAATTTTAGTTCCACAAGGTAGATTATCGATAGAACTTCATTAAAAAATCAATTTCAAAAGACCAAATTACAGATGCACCGAGTACTGATTCAAAATAAACAATTTCAGATTTGTGGCATCCTTTGCACTTAAAGTGACAAGAGGACAGACCTGGGAACAGCCTCTATTTTCTGCCATTTTTATTCCAAACGGGGTATTAACAACACGATCACCACGAAGTATCTCACCTAAATAATTCTTATTTGAGGAATGAAAAGGCAAACAAACCAATATTCTCTGGTGGATACTCAATAAGTTGCTTTGGACGACAGAATGGGACTTTATAATATTCATATGGAAGCTGAGTTACGTAGCTGGTCAACTTCACAGCCTTGAAAACGTTACCATGCAAAAAGTGTGTCATACCCTGACTTCAATAGTGTCTCCCTTAGAAAACTCATTTGGTGTCACTCCAGGAACACTCACCGCTTCGGAATCGGATAGAAGTGACACGAAAACGACACTAACAAGTGCCAACATCATGACCTTGAAGATGTCAAACAAGTTGCCAGGACTATTCTGACTTATTTGATGGGAACGACCAAAAAAAAGTATTTTCAATCTTCCAATGAGTTATAGGCCTGCGAAGAGTTCTTTCAAATAATTGAGTGTGCTATGATTGTCACCCAGATTGTGTGTATTTACAAGATTTTAAAGCATGAGAACTTGTTAGATCATATAAACCCTGGACAATTTCGGTATGTGATGAGTCAGTAAAGACACACCACAACAATAAACAGTTCTTTCTGTCGATTAAGGAAAGGTGACAACCGACATAACATTCGTGGGAAATGAAGAAGATAAATAAACTGGCCAGAACTATTAGATAAACAGTGGGGTTATTGAGTGCTGTGCCATCTCTGCTCAAAGCATATTTACCAATTTGAAAACTGTCATTTGAGGACAGGTTACCATTAATATTCCCTAATGCAGGCGGATATCACTTTTTTACACAGCCCGAGACCATTTGTTACTTAAAAACTGCATGGTCGCGTATAAATTGACGAATTATTTCTTGAAAACACTGGTCTCTGAGTCTAACTACTTAAGTCGGTGTGTTGAACACCGAAGTTATATGGCACGCTGCTGCTCTTTATCTTGCTAGGCACTTGTTTTGGCATACTGTCACTGACCCTCTTGTATGTTTCTCAATTGTTTCAGCCACGCGATATGCTAAACCTTTATAGTTTACGCTAAGAATGCACAATGCAGGTTAAGGATAGCATTTGCATACAACTCGTGAGTTTTTATCATCCGCCTGTCCAACACTCAGACACACTCAAATGACTGCAAACACGATACAGAGGTCGCACACACGGTTTAAACCAACTAAGTTATACACTGTTATGTCGTGGAACACTTAAAATTTCCGGACACACGGTAGCGGAGTCAGATTCATCTTGTGTAAATGACACTTTGTGAAGTACCTTAATTCTAAATCTTATGGTTATCGTACAAATAGGGACACTTATAGCTGATTTGCACATCTGTGCCTTAGGGATGCAATTCCGGCCTTTTGCATGTAAGCATATCTCTTTCGTACATTGATACGTTTCTCTTTGGTGTCGAGAGGAAAACAGGGATTCGTTAATGCACCTCCATTTCACTCTGTGTTCATTAGCTTGTTTAAGCTGGCTGGTTGGCTGCACATAGGCCTTCATATTCTTCTCTTATTACCTACTCCCGGTCACCATCGGACATCCATCTCGTCAATCCCCTTGAGCATGATAACATTAAAAGCTTTCCTCAGTTTGCGTCCAGCTAACTTCCATTTCCTCGGGAATATTTTTGGGACGATCCATTCTCTTCAGCTACTTAGCTTCTTGTCAGATTTCGTTCTGGCTCTCACGTCTTCGTTGATGAGAGCTGTTCGGGAGGTTCTGCAGCTTGCTGGAAATGCTTTTGGTGAACTGCCAACTTTCTGAACCACGTAGAGCAAAATACGATTAGTTTCCATACAGTTTTTGATATTTGCGTTAACGTACAAACTTTAGCTTAGGTGCCGTGTCCAGTGCGTCTTCTAATATAACCAAGTGTTATTTTTCAGGATTTTGTCTTACTATGGTGGGAAGAACGGGAAAAGGGAACTGTAAATGACTTGACGGTTGCATCATCTAAAATATTCCTCAGAGCTACACCTAAATTTTTGTTAAAACCTGCCTCCACTGTCTCGATACTAAAGAGTGAATAACCAACCGGAGAGAACAAGCCAACAGTAAATATTTCTGTCACGTAACCAACTAAGCAACAACATACTGCTCAAAAAATAGCTAGAAGGAAATTGAAACTGATTGAAAATACGCCTTAAAGAAATATAAGTGTCATCGCACTTCGAATTAATTAGTGAAACTCTAGGGAGAAGCGTCGGCTTCGGCTCCATGGTGTAAAATGAAAGAGATCTTGATAAGAGGACACGAAATTTTTCTGTCGGTATCGGTGATTGTAGATGAGAGACTGACGGGTACACCGAGCGTTTTTGCGCGTAAAGCTATCATCATTTTCGTTAAGGTTTCGCAAAAAAGAAGAGGGTGTCCGTGGCCAATCACTCAGTTAACGATCACACGGCGACGCGCATACGGAAACTGGGGTGTCCTGGGTGTCTGAAGGGGGTAAATATGTGAGTAGAGAGAGACTGTTCGACATTAGGTTGGTTGGTGGCATTACTGTAGGGTGTGGAAAAGAGAAAAATGGTGAGGAGTTCGACTAGTTGCATTTCAAAGATGGATGATTTTGGTGTCGGGAGAGCGTATTTGCAGGGTAGTAACACTGACTGTGGCTGCGCATCAGGAATATGGGCATATTCGAATTCGGTATTACGCAACCTCATAGCAGAATAAGGGTAGCTGCGACTAGCTCTATTTAAATGGTGAGGATAAGTCAAGAAGAGAAGTTGACTAATCTCAGCTATATTTGATACGGTAGACGTCCTTTCGGGAGATTTAAGCACAAGGAATTTAAGGAGGCTGAATCAGATTCGAAGGAGTGTATACCGGGCACAAGAATTCTGTTCCTTACATTTTTACTTAGAATCTTAGCGCTAGATGAGGTGTCACAAGATTTTTCGATGAATTTAGCATTGCGGATATGATTTTTGTTGGCAACTTTTGAAGCAGGTGAGTGCTTTCCAGGTTGTGTAACAACTGAATAAATACTGTATTTGGTATAGTTAGCCGTAACAAGCTTCATTTAGGATAACTATAATAATAATTTTTATTTCTGTAACAGAAACCAGCCATTATTACAGGCATGAACATATGCACACTTATGAAAACTTATAGAATATATAATATGATTTGTTAATTTAGAAATAAGTTGAATACTGGTAAATGTGAGAGAAACATTTAAAATGAAGTGTACAAATAAGGAAATAGATATAGCGTCAAATCTAAACTGTGATTGAAAAAAATACATGTCAATTTCACGCGGGAATCATAAATGATTGCGTTAGTTGGGAAGGTAAGTAGCATTTCTGTACAGGTGCTGACGTGATACATAAGAGATGCAGAATAAACAATAATTAACAGTAAATCATTCAGAAAGAGTTTTAAAGTCCATTAAACTTTAAATTTACCTGTAAGTACATCATATTTGTGACATTTCCAGTTGTTTATGAGACCCACTTTGAACTTGTCAGCAGATTTTATAATACCGATGATCCCGTTATTCACCAGATGAGCTAGCAATATCACGAATAAGTAGAGAATTGCAGCGCTGTATCAGTACCTTCGTTGAAAGCAGTATCTTTGAAAAGAGAAGAAGACACAAGAAAACCGGCAGACAGGTGCAGAAGTATATAAAAGGTGTTAATAATTCAAAGTATATAACAGGCATGGGGTTCATCATTTTTTGTTGTGTTTTTTTTCAAGAAATATTATTTTCCCGATATTTTACAGTCTTTTCTGCGAACAATTAGTTTAAAGTGAAAGACAGGTGATAATTTCACCTACTTGAGAGGTTTAAAAGGAGTTAAACACAAAAGTCATAGTGCGTGAGCTATGTAAAAGAAAAGCGAGGGCCTAGTAATATATGTTTTTCTGAAGTATACAGTTCGGTGTCGTTCTGAAGTAGCGGAATCATACCATTTACTTTCATTCGGGAGTTTGCATTTAAACTTCGGCTCTAGGCAATTTTCAACTAATATTTCTCTTCTTTTTTTCATTATTTTTTTAGTTTTTACTTTTTTATTTATTCTCATTTTGCAGAAGACATCCGAACTCAGGAGCCTTAGCAATAGAGTGCTGTCCCACAGATAAGGGTGGTTCACATATGTCCCCGCCATCATATCCGCTGACTAGCAGTCCCCACAATCCCACCAACTAGGTGGAGGGCTTCTTTTAAAGTTAAGATGTGGTTTCGTATTGACATCAGGTGAATCAGTAATATCTTTTTGGAGACTTATTTCACTTGCTGGGATACTTTGCTTGGCACGACGCCGGACTGGTGTCCTGTCACGAGTGATACGTATATTTTTTAAGCTGCATACTCTGCTAAAGAGATGCTAGTTGTTTCCTCAAAAAGAGATGATGTGTGACCTGTCACATAGACTTTTTCAATGAAGTTACACGAAGCAGGGACAACAGAGAACTAGTAATTGTGCTATATTTCGATATAACAAAAGCCTTCGATAGAGTCCCCCATAATCTGCTAGTCAGCAGGTTATGCTCACTAGGGATATGTGACCCTCTCCTGAGCTGGATAAAATCATTTCTCTGGGGCCGAAGTCAGATAACGAAAGTTGGCTCGATAATGTCAAGGCCTAAACCAGTAAGTAGTGGTGTAATCCAGGGAAGTGTATTAGGCCCACTCCTATTCATAATATATATAAACAGTATCTGTGAATGCTTTAGTGTTGGTAAACCAATACTATATGCAGATGACTTAAAAGTGACCTATAAATGCAAGAACACAGATCTCGGAATAACAGTAAACGCCATACAGCAAGAATTAAAAAAAATGGACAGATGGTGTGACACCTGGCAACTCCAGTTTAATGTCGACAAATGTGGCTGGCTCTGCATAGGTTGCAACAATTTAGAACTTGACCTGACAATTCAAGGCCATGCACTCTTACGACTGGAATCTGTATTGGACCTAGGACTGAAATACTCACATGACTTATCATTTTCTGAACATATCTCCAAACAAGTGTCAAAGTCACGCAGACTTATCGGCTTTCTACTCAGGAACTTCTACAGAAATGAGTCCAGAATTCTGTTGTACAAGGTTTGTGTGCGTCCTTTATTTGATTACTGTTCATTCATGTATAGTAGTATACGCATAGAGGACAAATTGAAAGTCGAGGGAGTGCAGAGGTACTTCACGTCAAAATTACTCGGAACCGAAAATGGTGCGAACTACTCCACTAGATGTGATACCCTAGGATTAGAAACACTATGGCTAAGACGCCTGAGACTAAACTTAACACTTTACTATAAGCTTCTAAACCACTTAGTTTTTACCTCTACTAATGGCATTCGACTTTCAGATGACAATGGCTACAAACTAAGACACACTAAGGGTACAGTAGCTATTGAACAATGTAAAACAGCTACCAGGCAAAAGTTTTACTTGATTAGGTATGCACAGATATGGAATAAACTACCAATGGAAATGCGTCAAGCAAGT